GAGAGAGAGAGAGAGAGAGAGAGAGAGAGAGAGAGAAAGTGACAACCACACAAAGTGAAGGAGGAGAGGTAAGGACAACACATTTTGATGTGACAGAAGGTGCAAAACACACCAGATCACCTGCCAACCTCCCACTAAACATCTTGACCATAATCGTTCTATAGAGAGGAACCCAGCATAAGTCAACAACAAGCTTTATTTTCAAATCGCTCCCGTAAAAAAATTCGGAGACGACCCAACGGATTTTTTTGAAGATTCTGCAATCTTGCGGTTTGTCTTGCCTTTCGCAATGGTTTCAATTTCACCAATCCGATCTTCCATCTTTTTCCGAAACTTGACGTGAGCTGGCACTTCGTTCTGGTAGATTTCGCGCATGTCACCCACACGACGAATCATTTCCGGCGACGCTGATAGGTGGGAAGATCTCACGTGACGAGCGGGGGATTTCTGCTGGCCGTACTTCATAACACAATACGTGCACTTTTCTTTCCGATGAGAAGACCAAAACGCGTACACAGGATGTTCGTGGACTAGAAGTCTATTTTTAGTCTGCACAACCACTTTGTTATTTCCTCGAACGGAAGATGGGTCCGCTTTGGCTTTGCTCTTTTGAGCCGGGGGTATTTCTGGTGCTGCTTTTGCAGCATCCGATTTTGGCTCGGGGTGGTCTTGAAGATCTACAGTCGTCTTCTCGTCGTCTGGTACAGTAGTATCCTGTTCCCCAGCTTCGGCACTTTGTTGTACGTCTTCCTCCACTTCAGGCACACATTCACGAGGTTCCTCTTCCGCATCTGCTGACGTCACAACCGTGGTGACGTCATTAGTTCTATCTTCCGTTTCGGCAGGTTCCTGTTCTGGTATAGTCTCTTGTTTCCCTGCGTTCCCACGTCCCGCCTGGTGAGATTAAAAAATGGTATTGGTTTAACGCCCCTATCAACACTATTAGGTTATGGACGGAAATAATGCTAAGTGACCATAACCACTAACTGAAATAGGAATTTCAATTATCGACGCGCAGTAAACGATGCATTACCAAAAAGCAAGAACAGACAGATATGGCAATTCATTTGTACCAACTGCAGTGCTACAAACGAGGCAGACAGACAGACACACACACACAC